TATTATTATTATTATTATTATTATTATTGGACACGTATTTAGATAATAGCGGTTTTTTTAAGTACCTTAAATTAAATACAATAGCTATGTATCATGATATTTAGAGCTACAATTTATATTGAACAACATAAAAATACATTTCCCATGCACCCCTTCAGGGTTAAATTATGCTTATTTCCGCTTCCGACGCAACTCTTAGCCAATCAAAACGACGCATTGACGCTGTTTCTACCATAGATCTTTATAAATATCTACATATCTATGGTTTCTACTGTAGGAATAAGCGGCTAGAATGCAAAGCAAATATAACGTAGGCGGGGCCCGGATGTTGTCTACTGTATTTTTGTCAATTCTATTAAAGTTTCTTTGCATCATTATTCAGGTGTGATTCCTTTATTCAACCCTGCTGCTGACGAATTGTCAGTATATTATTGATATTTGAAATATTTGATGTTCCCATTAAATGAATCCTGAGATTTGAATGCGGTTCAGTCGAACAACACGCTGGACTCACGTGGCGCCCGATGGTTGCTAGGCAGGTAACTAGGAAGTGAGAGCGCGCTGAAGCTCCTCCTCCCGCGTGTATCCGCAGGAACCGGGTGGAAGAGACCGACAGACCGAAACCGGCGGACCGGAGAGAGACAGTCAGGTATTTATAATGAACAAATGTGTTACGCACAGGTTTATATGGGGTTTTGAAGAGGAACTAGAGTATATTGTTAGTGTTTTTCGACATGTACCATACTATTTGTACGGTACTTCAAAGAATACAATAACACCTCCGGGGTAATGTGACGTGTCAGAAATGAGGGTAATACCATGGTACTTTTTGTTAGTGCGGCCTTGGGGAGCGAAGAGGGGCGTCAAGTCACCGATCACAGGCGCTAGTTTGGACACACGCACGCACGCGCACTCGGGTCAGGTCGGTCCCGGTTTTAACCACAGTTTCTTTCCGCTGTTGCAGGACTGAAGATGGCAGATGATCCGAGCGCGGCGGACAGAAACGTGGAGATCTGGAAGATCAAGAAACTCATCAAGAGTTTGGAAGCGGCGAGAGGGTGAGTGTGTGTGCGTGTGTGTTTCTGTGTGCGTTTCTGTGTG